TGTTTATTGACAACATTAATTTGCAATGTATGACGGAAGTAAAATGTAAACTAATTCAAAATGTAGTGTTTTGAAAAACTGAGTTTATTCAAATTTAATGCTTTGCATTTTGAATTACTTTTATTATTTTTATTGCACACAAGTAATTTTAATGTTTGTTTTATTAAATAGTTTTGAAATAAGTGTTTAATACAATTAAAATTCGTTAAAAATTAAAAGTTTTAATTTTAAAGTTTTAAATATAAATATTTTATTTACGTTATATGAATATTTTTGTTTCAGCTTTTTAAAGTTTTTGGCACATTTAGTACATTAAAATACAGTTGTCATTGTTAATACAACAATTTGCACTAAACAGCATATCAAGTTTGATAAATCGTCATATTTAGTACATTTTGTGATATTACTTTTTTATTTTGCACTTCAAAAACATATAAAGTTTCAGCAAACAGATTAAACAAAATATAATATTTTTCATTTAAGTTGTTAAATTGAATTTTGTATTCAACTGGAAAATGGCTCAACCTACAACATTGAAGCTTGGTTATTGGGATATGCGCGGTTTTGCAGAACCAATTCGTCACTTGCTTCGTTACACCAAAGTGCCATTTAAAGATGTTCGACATTCATTCACTTATAACGGTGAATTTCCATCTCGGGAGTCTTGGCTAAGCGAAAAATATACTTTAAAACTCAAGTTTCCTAACTTGCCTTATTTAATTGATGGTTCCTTTAGAACTACACAGGTAACTTTTTAGCTAATGATATTGCGTTAAGTAAATTAACAAAATTTTAATTTAATGTAGAGCGTGGCAATCTTAAAATACTTGGCACGTAAACATGGTTTGGTGTCTGAAAATGCAAATGACCAGGCAAAAGAAGATCTAATTGAAGCTCAAATTTTGGACATTCGCAACCGTCTGATTATAGCATTTTGTCATAAAACTTTTACAACTGATGCTGAATTTGAAGCTGAACTTGAGGTCATTAAAGAAGAACTTGCAGTGTGGCTCTCGCAATTTGAATCTTGGATTGGTTCTGAACAATGGCTCATTGGGGACAAATTGTCATACGTTGATTTTCTAGCTTTTGAGTATTTCGATTGGTATCGAGTTCTACTGCAGCCAAATTGTTTTAAACAGTTTCCTAAAATGAACTCTTTTATGGCTCGTTTTGCCGAATTGCCTAATTTAAAAGATTATCTTGCATCGGATAAATTTAAAAAGGCTCACATTTTAAGCCCTTACGCCAAACTTGGATATCGATTTGAATAATTAATTTTGCTAACTTTTTATTGTAGTCAATTTAACTTTAATAAATAAAATTGCATTAGTTTGTTTAAAATTGTTGTTTACCAGTTTAGTTGTTTAGCTACAAAAACAAATAAGTTGGGTTTTTTGTTCGTTGCTATTATTTTTTAACAATTATAATAAAATAGCGCCAAAACAATAAATTTTATTAAAAAAGTACATTGAGTAATTTAAGTACCTGATAAAACCTGTCACAAAACTCATTATTTAAAAAACTAGTATATTTTTTAATTAATCATAAATTTTTAATATTTTAAATTGAAAAAAATCATTTAAAGTTTTATTGATTAGTTTTAACAACAGAATTTTTTTACATTTAAAAATGATTGGTTACTACTAATGACTAAGTTTTTTGCAAAAATTTAATATACTAATGGTGATTGTCTAATGAAAGTGTGCATAAAAAGTGTTTGTGCATAAAAATGAAAAACCGAAACGTTCAATGTGCATGATGTTGATTAGTTGTTTTTTACAAAATAATATAGCGAATAATAGATAGCACTACGATGCTCATTGTTATGAAAAGTATAGGAAGCAACACATAACAATATGGCTTGAGAAGTTCCTTTTTCTCCTGATTTGAATTTTCATTGTTGTTAAAGTACAGTGGACAAAATGTAGTTTTGGAACATGGCTCAAAATTATTGTTGGTGCTAGTCGGGTACTCTATAAAATGTCCCTTTAAAATTTCTGGCATTTGAAGTGGCTCACGTATTGGTTTGTCTTGATGAAAGACAATTTTTGTCAACTCATTTTTTGATTCTAAAGTGGAAATCATTTGAAGAAAACCATCATTAATGTTGGAACACAAGCAGAAAATTTCCAGACTTTTTATCTGACTGAAACACGCTAAAGCGGAATCATCAATCTGAAAGTGGCCAACAATAAAACTGATATGCTGCAAATTAGCAACAGAGGCGATTGCTTTTGCCAGGCTTTCCGTAATGCAACTAGTTGGCGTAGCAATACGCAAACTGCTAATTTGTCCGCTAAATGCGCTCACCAGATTGGGAATCACCTCATCAATGCCGCTGCCAAAGACGATCGTCAGCTGGGACACTCTGGGAAAGACTTCCTGCAAGCCGAGAAATGATCGTCGCATCAGTCGCAGCACATCTTCCTTTGTCGTCTCGAGGAGGACCGATTCGACGTCCAGCTTCTCCCGGGCGATGTCTCTATTGAGTGAGATCAGCTTTTGTGCCGTCTGAGCGCACATGGTGATGCCCGTCTCAGTGTAGGCGGCCGTCAGCTCATTAAGGGCCTGCTTGCAAGTGACGCAGTTCACCGATCGATGATGAACGTTCTGCTGGAGCTGATCAATACGGACATCACCCAGCAGGATGGTCAGCGTCTGCAGTTGGGCAAGGCTGTCTCGGCGGTGTTCCAGCAAGGCGGCGGCCTTTCCGCCAGACTTGGCGCCGTTTTCGGGAACAAAGAAGCCCTCTGAGATTTGCTTCAGCATAATAGTCTGCTCAGTGGGCACCAGCACTCGTCGGCTGAATAGGCGTTCAAATTGCGATCGAATGCGATTCATGTTGGAAAATGCTTCGTTTTGTTTCGTTTTGCAGTCAACTAGCTTTCTTGGCGTCAATCTCTTAAATGACAGCAAAACGTGAAAGTGTTTATGGTTATAACAGCGGAAACATGATACACTACAAAACTGAAAGAAGTTGTACTTGATATTGAGGTCTGACAGAGCTGAGTGACGGATTCTAGCCACGTCCAGACCGTCACTGTTGCTACGTCAAACTGGTCTTTTAACCAGTTTCTTGGTTTTGCTTCTGTTCCAAGTGCATATTAGAGTTTTCACATGCGCAGATTTTAGCACCGGGCTACAGTTGCCAAAAGGGTCTGTTAACAGTGTTCGGTGCAAAAACTTTTTCAGCAAGTGGTGCGTTGACCAGCAATGTACTTCTTTGTGCGAACAGTAGCTGAGGCGTGGCACATCATCGCCTAAGTAGGCGGTGTTGTGCTCTATATTATGCACACTATTCGCGTTTAAAATAATAAAAAAAATATATTTGATTTAAATGCTAATTTATTGTAAAAGTTTTGAAAACTATTTGAGTGCATTTCTTGATTGCCACTGGCACAATTTAACATAGCAAGATAACTTAAAAAGCAAACTTTTCAATAAACTGTTTTTGTAAAAAATTTAAAATTTGTTTTAAAATATTTATTGAAACAAAACTGAGTCTTTTATTTTGTTTTAAGCAAATACAAGTTAAAATATTTTTTTTAAATTTAAATGGGAATAAAGTTAATTGTAATAATAAAACTTTTTAAAAAAGATTTAATTGCAGTTTAACTATGAAAATAAAAAAGTTTGAGTTGCTTGCTTAAAACATTAAATACAAAAACAATTTTTTAAAAATTTTTTAAAACGCAAAATCTAATTGTGTTCTAATTGTTTTAATGAGCATTTGTTAATTAAACTTTTTATAAATAGTTTTGTTTTTTGAATTGTTTTATTATTTGTTGAACAAACTTTTCAAGTTTTCATTAAAATTTTAAAAGTTTAGCATTGTCAAGATAATAATCAACAACGTTAAACCCACATTATACAACTTAATTGTTAAAATATTTTCAAAACAACAACAATTTAAAGTAAAACTATTTAGAATAAAATGTTTTATTATTAAAAATAAAAATTTTATTTTTTGTAAATTGACATATTTTGTACTGACATATTTGTACTGTTTGTTGAAAAGTTTTGCTAAAATTTAGCAAAATGTTTTTAATTTTGCGCAAAAAAAATATCAAATTAATTGATCTAATATTTAAAGCAAACAAAAGCAAATTTTCAAATACATTAATGTAAATAAAAGCTGAGATCAACATAAAATAAAAAAGTACAAATTACAAAAAATGACAAATTGTTTAATAAAAAGCAAATCTAAGGAAGAAATTAATTTTTTTAATGAATACTCACGTATGTGTGTAATTCAGTTAAAATAATTAAAAAAAGTAAAAAAAATGTAAACTTTGGTTCTTTTGCTACACACAGACTAGTCTAATTTAAGGGCATGTCTGCATTGGCTATTGCCTGGTTAATCAAAAAATGATTGCAAATAAAGTTAAAGCGCTTCATTAACGTTAGTTTTCATTTAGCAGAATACCGTAGCAAAATACCATAAAAATAGCAAAAATAAAAGTTGGTGTTTTTTAACACTGAGGGGCAATAATAAGACAAAAATATTAAGTGCATGGAAAAACTGATTTGTTTTTTACAAACAGTTTTGACGATAGAACTTGTCGTTTTCATCAGTTGGTGAAGAAAATCAACAGTGGTATAAAAAATTGGAGGTTATAATTAAATAACAACAGGTAAACATAAAGTTAACAAATGGTGGCTCAGGAAATGTGCAGAGATGCAATGACAATAGATAATGAGATTGGCGATGAAAGCGGTGGCGGGCGTTGATGGAAAGTTAAAAGGAGGAAAAAGAGTGAGGCACATTAGCGGCGTGATCTTGATTTGTACATTTTTATACTCATTTTCTTTAAACAATGCAACTTTTTAAACAAGTTCAAGAAAAGAGTGTTTTTTAAGTTTTCTGAAAAACTTTAAAAAATTGATGAAAAACAGATGATTTTTTAGTAGCTCTCTTTAAAGTGATTTTAGTGATTTTGAAGTTTCTAAATATACAAAAAACATCAACGATGAAAATGATTGATGTTTTTCCAAATTTAAAGAGGCAACTTGGCGTTGGTGTCAATAGTAGTTGACGAAAAATTAATTGACTGTTCTTCAGCTTCTGAAACTGGTGCAGCTAATGCTGTCGGTTTTGCTTCATTTGGAATATTGTTAATAATGCCAGTTAGTTTAATAATTCCACTTTCAGTGTCATTGTTTGACTTAATCATCACCACAGGCGAGTTAGTAGATGTCTGCTGCAGTAAACGGAACTTTTTCTTTGGTAGCATCATTATTGAGTGCGCTGTAAAACAGAAATAATGTAAATTTGAATAATCGTATTTAAGAAAATACTTTTTATTCTTACCTGAAGAGACAGTAGGTGTGGTGGCAATTGAAAACTGGTTTAGAGGTAGATTTATCACTTTGTTAGCGCTGACATCATCAAAGTCAATCTTGCGCTTCACTCCGCCAACTGTTTGCTCACTGTTCTCAGTGTTCTCCACTTGTTCAGCCACCTTGCCACTGCTAAAAACTTGAGCATTAGCTGTTTGAGCATTCATCAGAGAGGTATCACCACTGCGCTTGTTTTCGCCAGGCTCTACTGCTGCTTCAACACAGTCCTTCACTTTGATGATCACTTTTGTCGGAGGTCTGGCGGTGGGAGCTTCGGTAGCGGAGGACTTTGGCGAGGCAGGCACAGCAGACTGAGAGGTATTATTTGTACTGGTGAGGAGGTTAGGAGGAGAAGGAGGAACTTTTAAATGGACGGGAGGTTGAACGGAAACGGAGACAGCAGCAGACGACGAGCCGGCTGCTGGAGGAGCCGGAAGAAGGACTGGACTGGACTGCGCCGACAGGTCCAGTGAAGCAGAGCGTTTCTTTGGACGACGAGAAGGTACGGGCGAGGAGTGTTTGCTGCCGCTCTCCGATCTACTCGACGACTGCTTTCGGGGCGTTGTCGGCAGCACTTGATGATCACTGACGTTGTCGCTTTCTTTGATGGTAGTGGGAGCCACTGAATGCTCAGCAGTTTGGCTAGGAGCACCTTTTTCCGGTTGTTGAGCTGTCTGTTCAACACCGGAAGCAGCAGCGTTCTGGCGTCTTTTCTCTTCTCGGTAGTACCGCTTTAGGCGAACGTGCCAGGCGATGGAGGTAACAGCTACACAGTGGAAACAAGCAAAAAAATCAACATTAGGAATTTTTGATAAAAAAGGGCTATGTAATCCCACAAAGAAAAGAGCGTACCGGTAACAGTGCGAAACTGGTGAATGATATTGCGCGGCAGAAAGTAGATGTCATTGTCGTGCAGCTGGACGCGGGCGTAGAGGACGCCCTCTCGGCGAAGCTGGTTCAGCTTGGCGTCCTCCACCCAGGTGACGCACTGCGACACCGGCGGCTCGTGCAGGTCCAGCTGCAGCTTCAGCGTCAGATCGTCAAAGTTGGCCGCGTGGAAGGCGATCACGTCCTTGGTGACGCGGTTGAACTTGGGCACCGTGCCGCAGTGGACGGCTTTCAGCACGCCCACTGCGGCGGTGGTCTTCCGGTCGAAGCCATTGCCCACGTGGTCGGCGTGGCACTTGGTCCTGGAGGACAGAGGTAACGGTTAGCAAAAATGATAAACAAAATGTGAAATAAAATCAGCTCATCATACCGGTCCTCAAACATGAGCTCCCGCGGCTCTGAAGCTCGTCTCAGCAGCCCTCTCAGCTCATTCTGCACTCGACCCTTGGTCACCGAGGAGCCGGCCCCGGAGGAGGTGGAGGAGCTGGAGAGACAGGCGGTGGGAATGAGCTGCTCGCCCGGGCGCACCCAGAGAATGGGCCCGTCGTTGGACTCCGTGGGGGCGTTCATCTTGACGACGCTCATGGCGCCCCAGGGCATGACCAGACTGAGGAAGGGCGAACGCTCCAGCATGGAGACCATCTTCGGAAAGTAGCCGCCCACCTCCTCGTGCACCGTCCCCACGATGGACACCTGGTGCAGCGGGCCGTACCGAAAGGTGCCCGACTGGTAGGTCTTGTGCACCTAAATCAAAGAACAACAAAAGTTAATGTCAAGTTTTTTAAAAAGAATGAAAAAGCTTAAAAAATTTACATTTTCTCTGTACTTGGCCATGTTGGTCGTCTCAATGTCGGAGCCGTGGCCGAGGACGCCCGCCTTGACTGTCAACGCCGGCTCTCGGTCGGCGAGCCACTCCAGCCAGTCAGGCTGGTAGGCGGCGGCATTGTGGACGATGCTGATGACGTACACCGCCACATTGGGCGGCTCCTCGCGGAAGCTTTCTCGCATGAACTCCACCGCCAGCTCGTGGCGGCCCTCGCGGTTCAGGCCGACGATCTCGTCCAGGTAGAGGTGGAGAACCTTGGCGCCGCCGTTGACGCACTGCTCCAGACGGTAGAAGCGGCCGTATTTCAGATCGGTCCGGCTGAGCAGCTCATGCGAGGGCAGCGGCAGTCGGGGGGTGAGCAGTGAGAGCGACGTCATGATGGGCATCTTCCGCAGCTCACGGGCAAAGTACTGGTCAATGCGACACTGGATGCGCACATTCTCCGTCTTCACGGGCCGGCACTTGATGCAGCTCTTTTTCACGTCGTTGTTGACTGTTGTTGTATCAACGGACTGAACAGTGGCTGCTGAATCAGTTGAGCTACTGAAGGCAACTAGATCGGTGCAATCAGTGCCCACTGAGACTGATTTGCAAGATGATGCTGTTGTTGTTGTTGTTGTTGTTGTGATGTTTGGTTTGTCTTCCTCATCTTTCATTTCAGTGTCCATAAACGGCGGTGGATGATTTGTGCTGTTGTTGTTGGGTTGTTTGCCACCGTTGTCAGCATCACTTTCCGGAGAGTCAAAAACCGCTTGAAGTCGTTGCCAGACTGCTGACACCCCAGGAGCCAAATGACCTGACTGTTTGGCCGCCTCTGCCTGCTGTTTAACCAGCGTGAAGACAAGGGCACGAGAAGTGTGGTCTTCAGCAAGCACTTGCAAGAAGGAGCTGCGATTTGCACTGCCAGCATTGTTCAGCATTTTGTCTGGTGAAATTTGAGCGCTCCCATCTTTGCTCAAGTCAGTCGCAAAAAGTGGAACAGTATTGACGGCGGCGTCTTTCATTTCCGGTCGTGCCGGCATCGGCGTGATCATTTTGATTTCCAGTTTCGGAGCTAGGCTCAACTTGAGCTTAGGGAGATCAGGTGGCGACGACATTGAGTCGTTCACTGAGGAGGACAGCGGCGATAGTGGCGACTGAGGTGTTGGTTGTGGTGAATTACTACTATCCTCCTCCTCTTCAAGACTAATTCTGTGGTGGTGGTGATGGTGGTGGTGGTGGCGTTTGTGGTGGTGATGCTTGTGCTGGTGCGGCTGGGTAGGCCTGCTGACTCGTGCCTGCGACTCTTCGCCGCTGCTGAACTCCCGTGCCGTGCTGCTGACGATGGTGCCGTTGGTGCCGTTCAGAAAGTGGCCGGAGCCGTCTGTGGTGGACACGTGCTGCAGCTTGATGATCGTCTTCAGAGGAGAGTGATTCACGGCGGCCGTCGGCTGCAGCATGCCGCCATTCAGTGCCGATGTCAGGCTGGAAAGAGTGGTCGTGCTGGTGGTGGTGGTACTGCCTGAACTGGTGCCTCGAATAGGACTAAATAGAGCACTGCTGGAGGCACTTTGAGCAGGAGTTGCCGTCGTTACTACTGTTGCTAATGATGCGGTTGTCGTCGTCGTCGTCGTCGTGGCTGCTGCTGCTGTCGTCGTTGTTCTTACTATTGTCATGGATGAAGGAGGTGGTGAGGAGGATGGTGGTGGTGGTGGTGCTGGCTGATGAGATGATTTGGAGGGTGACGGTTGCTGGGATGGCATGGAGGGTGAAGGCTTACTGACAATGCAGCCTTGCCCGTTGATGATCAGACTGACTTTTGAGGGCAAAGGTGTCTTATTCTTGACTGGAGTGGAAGGAAGCGGCAAGGGCATAGGTGGTGGTGGTGGTGGCGGTGGAGATGGTGACTGCGGAGAGATTATTGCCGGAGACTCGAGCTCATCGGAACTAAAGGTAAGCTGTGGTGATGGAGCAAAGAGAACTGAAGAGGTAACCGAAGACTGTCGACTGCTGTGATAGGAATAGTGACTGTCGTTGCTGCTGCTGTTGTACTGGTGGTGGTGGTGGTGGTTGTTGTTGTCGTTGATGGTACTGCTGGTGCCGCCGCCGCCGATGTTCACGTCGTCGATGTTGTCGCCATTGTCGTGCAGATACTGCGACTGATGATCATAGGAGTGCTCCTGATGGTGCATCTGCGGCTGCTGCTGATGTTGCTGCTGGTCACGGTAGTAGCCACTGCTGTGCTGCCCGTGATTGAAACTGCCGTGGTTGGAAACTTCGTATTCCGACTTGATGTTTGTAGACTTTAAATCGACCCTGCTTGACGACGCTCGACTAGTGCTGGCGGTAGGAATAGTAGTAGCAGTGTTTGACGACTGACTCTTTTCAGCATAGCCGCTCTTTGATAGCGCCAGTGGTCCGTCCTGGTAGTGGCGATGCTGGTAATGGTGGCTGCTGCTGTTGTTGCTGCTGTGATAGTTGAGATCTCGATCCATATCGCGACTTCTGTCTCGGTCCCGATTTCTGCTTCGCTCCCGGTCCCGATCTCGGTCCCTTTCCAGGTTTCGGCCATTGTCTCGGTTTCGGCATCTTTCCGGATCTCGATCTCTCTGATCGTAGTCGCGGTCTCTGCCCCGGTCTCGATCTCGTTCTCGGCTTCGGTCTTGATATCGGTCACGTTCACGTTCCCTTTCGCGCTCCCGTTCCCGCTCCCTTTCCCGTTCCCGTTCTCTTTCACGTTCGCGATCCCGATCTCGGTATTGATTTCGGTCTCGGTCCCGGTCTCGGTCCCGGTCCCAGTCCCGGTTTCGATCACAATTTCGGTCGGAATAATGCTGGTCATGGTATGATCTCATGCTGTGTCGATCATCCAGTTCACTGTAGCTTCCTTTTGTACTGTTGAGGCTGCTCTTCTCTCGGTGATATTCACGTACTTCTTTGTACTCCTTTTGAAAGTCTAGGTGCTCTTTCAGGTGATTGCTGTTGTTGCCAGCACTGCTGCTGCTGCTGCTGATGCAGTTGTGGTTTTTGATTGATATTTTCAACGGTGGCGGCGGCAGCGGTGGCGGTGGCAACGGCGGTGTGTACGACCGTTCATCATTGGGGCGGTGGTGGAGGTGTTGATGATCTCCTGACAGTCCTGCATGTCCTGCTGTCCGTGACTTTGATGAACGTCGAGATGAACTGCTGCAGTTGTTGTTGTTGTTGTTGTTGTTGTTGTTGTTGTTGTTGTTGTTGTTGCTGTTCTCGTTGTTGCCGTTGTTGTTGCTGTTGTTGTTGCCGTTGCTGCTGCCTGTGGACTGACTGTGAGACGATTTTCTGGCGTATCCACTCGATGATCGGCTGCCACCTCGATGATCGCCGCTGGTCTCCGGTGGTGAAGAGCGGCCACCAGTGTGGTAGTGCCGTCGGTGGTAGTCACCCGAAGAACTGCTGCTGTTGTTGCCGTTGCCGTTGTAGCTGCCACTATTGCTGCTTTTGTGGTACATTTTGCTGGGTCTCTCTCCTGTTTCGCTGCTTCACCGCTGCTGATTTAGGTGGTGGTGATGCTAGGACTGGGCTGCAAACCTCAGGGCCCTGCAGAAAACTTGCTCATCTCAGTAGTGGAGAGGTGTTTCCCTGAGAAGGCATCGCTCCAGCATGGCAACCACTCATGTCAGTGCTCGTGCTTGAGGTGGGCCTGGTAAAGTTGCTGGTGCTGATGCTGGTGGATCAGTTTTTGAAAACTGCTTGCCCTTTTTTGCTTCACTTTTCTGGACGCTGGTGACACTAGGCGACTCGTGTGTGTTTAGGTGATGTAATTCACATGGGGAGCAGTTTAGGTTGAAGAGAAGAAGAAGAAGAAGAGGAACAAAAAAGGAAAGTGGCAGTAAAAAGCAGGATGCAGTAGAGAAGTGAATAAAGGAGAGAGAGAAAGAGAAAGAGAGAAAGATATTGAGGGCCAAAACACGGCACAGAAGCAGAAAACAACAGAAGCAATGAATAGAGCGAGGAATAGAGAGAAAGGCAGCAGCAGCAGAAGAAGAAGGGAAAGCGAGGGAAAGCGAGGGAAAGCAAGAGAGAGAGTGCTGTGTGAGTGCCAGTGTAAGTGAAAGAAGGAAGAGGGAAGAACGAAGAACGAAGAACGAAGAAAATGGCTACAAGAATAAGGGAGAGAATGAGGAGAGATCGGGGGAGAGGGTGAAGAAGCAGTGTAGAAGGTAGTAGTCCTATCGAGAACGAAGTGTTGGAGGCCCTCGTCAATCGGCAATCACGAGTTGGCCGCAAAGTGGAAGACGGTAGAGAGAGAGAGAGAGAGAGCAGTGGGGAGAGAGAGAGTGAGTGAGTGCAAAAGAGCGCGTGGAGAAAAAGTAGTCAGAAAGAGGCAATGCCTGCCTGCCGTCGATGTTAGCCTGTGAACAGTGTGCTCACTGTTGTGCTCGGTGGCGGTGATGATGGTGGTGGTAGTGGTAGTAGCGGTAGTAGCAATGGTAGTGATAGAGGTAGTGGTAGTGGTGGACCGCTGTGTTTGTGGCTAACGCTGTGCTAGTCACGAACGCCATTCAAGTGCTGCTGCTTTGTGGGTCACAGCGCACATTTAGGGGCGCTGCTGACCACTGCTGTTGCAGTTGCTGACTCAGAGCTGCCCAGCTGCAGTTGGCGCCAAAGTGTGAGTGTAAGTGCGTGCACGTCAGAGGACAGTGGCGCCCACATGTCAACCCCTTGCCTTGATCCTTTCTCAGCCCAGTGACTGCTCTTTTGAGGCACTCGCTTTTCTCGCTCGCTTACCAGTGAAAGTGAGTGGCGCCAGTTTCTGCTAATGCAGCCTTCCTTTTGCCATTTGTCACTCATTCTGCTGATCCAGCGCTGCCAGGTGGCGTCACTAGGAGTCTCAACAAACACTGCTGCACACACACACTGACAATGTTAGCCTTTTTGCAATACCAATCTGTCTCTATTCAATTGGCTTTTCCAGTGTTTAGCTTTTCTAATTGCTCGGGTGTCTTGTGATTTTGAGGCAAAATCGAGCGCCTTTTTTCTCTTTTCACTGCAGTTTTTCTTTTGTTGGTAGTAGTTGGGTGAACAAACATTAATTGCGTTGCAGGCACATTTGTCTATTTTACAACCATTGTTAGCACTGCATTCTCCATCTATGAGGCGACAGAGCAAACAATATTTTGAAATAGTTTAGAAAATCAGTTGTGTTTTTTCAATTGCAAAAACTTAAGTTTTTAACCAATTTTAATGTCCAAAATTTAGTTTTGGCGGTGTTTGTATATTAAACTAATTGCTAAAATTATAAAAATTTTAATCGTTTGCATTTTAAAAATTGCTATTGCTGGTATTAGAATTAGGCACAGTTATAATTTTAAAAACTTTAAAACACTTTAAAATGGATCGATCAGCAAACAAAACTCAGTAAACACAAACTTGCCTAATGTTTACAATAAAACTTTTTTCAAATAAAAAAGTGTGTTTTTTTTGTTAAAGATTTACAAAAAAATTTATTGCAATTCATGTTGTTTAAAGAAGTAACAAAACATTAGCTTAACCTCAAATTTTCAACATTCTACAAAACAAACATTTATTGTTATTTACCTGAGATATTGTTTGAACCATTTAAGATAACTAATAAACTTTTTAATTTGACTTTTTTGTTTAAGTTTATTTCTAGTATTCAGTTTTTGTTTGTTCAGTTAAATTGTACTTTTAAATGTTTGCTTTATTTACTCGAAGTTTTCCCTACAGTTAGTAAGTGTCCTTCTTCTGTTTTATCTATGTAAATTTTCCTCTGCAGTGCGGTACTTTTCTCTATAGTTGTTTAGACTGAATCGCCCACTGCGCGCATGGTAACATGACCAACTGTCAATTCACTGCAGCAGAACTTGACTTCATCATCTGCATCAACTGTGTGTGTGTGTGTTCTTTGATATTGACACACTGCCACACCGCAACGTTGGCCCACATACTACCCCAAAGGCGTGTCTGTCGTGGGCTCGTTTGATCTCGTTTGAGAACAATCCAAAAACGTCATAATAATAAAAATTTGGCTTTATACCGTAGAACTAACTAGATT